TAATGTGCAGTAATGCACAGTGGAAAATAATTCAGTAATGCACATGTTGCAAAAAACAGTTGTGGGCAAGACTGGACACCAGAATTTGGTTGGAATCCTAAAAAACATAAGTTGGAACTTGTAATTTCATGTGATTCAGGAGAAATGCTTTTGTAAGATGTTAGGTGACATTTCAGTGTCTTCCTATTCATCACAGTTTCCTGTGATGCCTGTGTAAAAATAGTAGAAATACGTAATTTTTTATTTATTTAAAAGTAATGAATACTTTTTTAAAAAATTTTAAATCCTTAAGCCCCAGTCCTTGAACTCTCTCTAGACAAATGTTTTTAAAACAGACTCAAACCACTGAGTATGTCTTTGCAGTTACAGAGATACATTGTCAGGAACTAACTGGTGATGCTCTTTAATAAATTCTTGTATTGCTAGTCTGGACACAGGATCTTCTCTTTCAGGCCATTCTGTAGGGCAGGTTGTTTATGCATAAAAGCAATTATGTAAAATTTCTTCCTAGCTTACCCTTTAAAAATGGTTGAGGATGTGGAAAACTGAACACACAGAAAGCTGAACAAAATCATCTCTTTCTAAAATGTCAGAGTCAGAAAAACTTCCAGAGAGGAAATTAAATATTTTAAACTTTAACTCTGCTCTGCATTGGTGCAGCCTTAGTTGCTCTGTTTTCTTATTTCCCAGTTAGGTAGAATTTTAACAGTTGCTAATGTGGGAAGTACGGTTCATTGCAGACTTAACAAGAAGCACAGATTTCATATTACCAATATTTTCTCACCTTTTTACTTGCCTTTTCATCTAGGGGAAGGACTGTTACTATTTTAAGCTCATAGTTTATTACAGTATTTCAGAATAAGAGCTGTATTTCCAAAATGGTAAAAACTGGAAATGTGATCTGTACTTTGAGTCCTGTGAAATACCCAGTGAAGCAGGATTCATTTTAAAATTAAGGCCTCTGCTGCTATGAAATTTGTAGGCTTTCCTGAACTGCTCAGGCTTATTATTAATTATAACTACCATCCTGAGTGGGACTAGGCTGGATTTTGTGTGCCTTTTGTAATTCTTCATAGGATAAATACCTTTTACTGATACAGTTTAAGGAATTCCCCAGGTAGTCTGTCACCAAAACATGTATCTCTGAGCATTTCACATACAATTAAATTGAGAATAATAACGTTTTTTATTATCATTGGTTACTCCTATACTGTGTCCTTCCACTGGACAAGGAAAAGGTTTGTGTGTGTGTCTCTTCACATATGTCTATACCACCCTGCCTTGATGGTGACCTTACACAGAGGTCATAATTTTCAGTTATTCTATTTTCAATATTATAGTGAATCAGAGTTCTGTTCCCTGCAGGTGTGTAAGGTCTATTAATGATTGGCATTTGTATACTAGCATAATCAGTAGTAACAGCTCATACATCTTTTTCATTAAGGGAAAAGAAGGCCAAACATCAGAATGGAGATCATGAAAATCTGATGAATGTGGTAAGTAATTATTTCTGGCAGCTTGTGTCTGTCTTCTGGTTGGTTTGTACCAAGGTCCTTGCAAAATACTGCAGACTGGAAAATAGCTCAGGAATTTGGAGATGGTTGAGCAAGGGAAACTTTAAAAGTTAAAGCACAGGAAGAGGAGAACTTGTGCAGACCCTGATAATTTGCACTTTCTCAGTGCTTTTTCTGCCACCCTTGTACTCCAGATCTCCTGCCTTTCTTTCAGTCCATTTGCAGTGCAAGCGCAGTGTACCCTTTGCCAGCTGCTGTCTTCTCACTGGTTAAAGCCATGGCAATGTCCATTACCATAAAGATCTCCCTCTGGAAGAGAGTTCCATTTATTTGTTTTAACATCTGTATACACAGGCACCTAAATCTTTGGGTTTAGTTGGCATGGTTTGATTCTCCTGCCATAATACCTGTGAGTCAGAGCTCCCGAGATCAGAATTAAAGTTGTCACATATCTATTTATGCAAACATTTATTCTGATCCAGTGGTGATTAGATCTCACTAATTTGTGTTGCAGCCTTCTGACAAGGAGGTGTTCAGCCACTCCATCACAAGTTCGGCTACAGAGCCCCCTCCGAGCAGCGACCACAACGGGGCACTCAGCAATGGTGAGGGTGAGTAGCATAGCCCCTGCGGGTGGGATGAAGAAGCAGTGCTGTCCCCTCGCTCACAGCTCCCTCCTTAGCTGCACATTGGTGATCTCTCAAGCCTTAGGTTTCTAGCCTTCAGCTTTCCAAACGTACAGACATGCCATTTGTCTGAGTCATAGACTCATAGAATGGTTTGGATTGGAAGGGACCTTTAAAGTTCATCTGGTCCACCCCCCTGCAGTGAGCAGGGACATCTTCAACTAGATCAGGTTGCTCAGAGCGCCGTCCAACCTGACCTTGAATGTTTCCAGGGATGGAGCTTCTACCACCTCTCTGGGCAACCTGTTCCAGTGTTTCAACCTCATTCTAAAAAATTTTTTCCTTATACTAGCCTAAATCTATCCTCTTTTAGTTTAAAACCATTACCCCTTGTCCTATGGATAAAGACCCTGCTAAAAAGTTTGTCCCCATCTTCATTATAGGACCCCTTTAAGTTTTGAAAGGCCACAATAAGGTCTCCCCAGAGCCTTCTCTTCTCCAGGCTGAACAACTCCAGCTTTCTCAGCCTTTCCTCACAGGTGAGGTGTTTCATCCCTCTGATCATTTTTGTGGCCCTCCTCTGGACCTGCTCCAACAGGTCCATGTCTTTCTTGTGCTGAGGACTACAGAGCTGGACACAGTAATCCAGGTGGGGTCTCAACAGAGCAGAGTAGAGGGGGAGAATCACTTCCCTCCACCTGCTGGCCACACTTCTTTTGATGCAGCCCAGGATATGGTTGGCTTTCTGGGCTGCGAGTGCACATTGCTGCTCATATCCAGCTTTTCATCCCCCAGTACCCCCAGATCCTTCTCTGCAGAGCTTCTCTCAGTCCCTTCATCCCCCACTCTATACTGATACCCCAGATTGCCCTGACCCAGGTGGAGGACACCTGTCAACCACACTGCTCAGCTTGTTGTCATCAGCAAACTTGCTGAGGGTGCATTTGATCCCACTCTGTCACTGATGAAGACACTAACAGTACTAGTCCCAATACAGACCTCTGAGGGACACCACTCGTCACCAGCCTCCATCTGGGCACTGAGCCATTGACCACTACCTTCTGGATGTGACCATCCAATCAATTCCTCATCCACTGAACAGCCCACCCATCCAATCCATATCTCTCCAATTCAGAGAAAAGGATGTTGGGGGGGGACCATGTTAAAGGCCTTACAGAAGTCCAGATAGATGATGTCTGTATCTCTTCCATTGTCCACTGACATAGTGACCCCAGCATAGAAGGCCATTAGGTTGGTCAGGTAGGACTTGCCCTTGGTGAAGCCATGCTGGCTATCTCAAATCACCTCTTTGTGTTCCCCACTGCTTACTTCTGGAGGTCTGATACCAGATCAGCTGCTGTATCCCAGGCTGGGCACGCAGGTCTCTGGAGGGCAGTCAGTCCTCTTTGCACAGGACGTCATTCACGCAAAACTTATGATCAAATTAAAAAATGAAGTGAGCACGTTTGCCTTGCAGGGAAGTCAGTAGCCCATCCCATGGAGATGTTGGCATTTTAGGCTGCGTCTCCACTTCCGTGTCAGGCATTCTCTGGCACAGCCCTACATCCCAGCTCCCAGTCTGTCATGCCAGCCAGCACTGGGAGGGTGCCAAGGTCCTCCTCTGGGCCACCAAGCTACACCTGCAGACTGACCAGGCCATCAGGCAAAGACTGTGGCATTTCCTAATCTCGGCCAGCTATGGAGCTGGGATGTGACCAGAAGATGCAGTTGTACCTTGGAGCTTCACTCCTGGAGGCTGTGAGAGTATTTTTATTTTTAATAACTTTGTTTTTACAGCTAATGGCTGTTCCCACCCATTTGCTTGTGGCGTACGTAGGTGTGTGGCTCACCAAGGGACTCGATACGCAAAGCCCTACAGAAGGGAAGCATTTCTCTTTGCCACAAGGCACCACACATGCAGCTGTCAAAGCCACTACCAAAAGGCGTCCTGTCTACCAGCAGACAGTTTTCAGACTGTCTGATACTGCTCAGCTTATGCTCCGCCTAACAATCCTTCTGAATAACAGGAATCTAATTTCTTATTTATGCTTGGCGCATTCTTTTTGTTAATAGTTCTTTCTTTTGCTGTTTCTGCTAGTCTGTTGAGCAGGGGCAGGGCTATGGAAGCAGCACCATCAAATATTGGGTTTTTTAACTTCACTGTGATAGTTTCACTGGGCTAGCCCTTGGCCAGCAGCCAACACAGCCGTTCACCCACTTTCACC